ATTTACACAAACTATCTGGGATCTGATCCATCTACATGGAGGATAACGGATCCCCTTCTACTTGTGTTTAGCAGATTGGATCAGTTCAGAGGTAGGCGGGTGTAAATAGACACAAGTCAATTTACACCCACTGGTCCATAGAGATGAATGGACTGTTCGATCAGGTTCACCTGAAAAACTGACATGCAGACCTGATCTGAATGGTCATGTGAAAGGGGCCTTAATGTTCTCCTCCCCAGCTGCTTCTTCTTACCTTTTCTTTGCTCCCCCAGCACTTTATCCAGGAGTGAAGAAAAACAACCCCAAGTATAATTAATATTATTAAGTGTTTTTTACATGGCAGGACCACTTACTGTTATATCACATATATATTCTTATTATTACAGACAAATTTACCACCCTACCTCCTCCTACAGTTTTTACACTACATGGACAGTAATATACCAAAACGTGCGGATTGTTCCCGATTGGTGTGCTATTACTTTGTGGAACGTTTCGCCGAATGGTTCACAAAATATCTGCATTTTTTTGGTGAAATTGGTCCCATAGGAATGAATGGCGGAATGTTCAAAACTAGAGTGGGAGCTGACAAAAGATAGAGTGTGAGCTGAAAAATCAGGCCATCACTCCCTCATTTTCAAGCCCACCTACACAAATCATATATCAAAACGTTCAGCTATCCCTGCTGCCACTACTAAGCAATAGTCCTGATAGTTTTCACAATATGACCATTTGTTTGCAACTCACGCCCATTGACATTCATTGAAACTCCACTCTAGCCACCTCAAATTTGAAGGGAAATTTCTAAACTGCGACTGTGCCTTCATTTTGAATATTTCAGGAACAACTATGCATCAAAATGTAGGTGTGGGTCTTGTGATTCTCACAATATAAAGCTTTTCAGTGTGAGCAGCAGAGTGACAAAAGCTAGAGTGTGAGCTGAAAAATCAGGACATGATTTCTAAACTGCCATCACTCCCTCATTTTCAAGCCCTAGACTACTGGTAGAGGCAAGAACACTTCACACAAGTTCCCCAGAAATTGTAGCTTTTCTAGTTATTTATTATCATCATACAAGATTTATAGAGCACCACAGGTTTTCACAGTGTTTTACCAAATAAATGGAGCCCATACCATTACAATTCAATTCAAGATAAGAGGGTTAGGAGAGCCCTGTTTGTGAGAGATCAAAATTAAAATGGAAAAGAAGGAGCCGTGAGGAATGAGCTGATGGAAAATATAAAGGTACACTTTTTAGGTGGAGGAAGGATAGGTTGCCTGAAAGTTGTGAGTTTCAGGGATCACCTAAAGATGGAAAGAGTAGTAGATGGCCAGGCAGATTGAGGCAGGGAGTTCCAAAGGATGGTAGAGGCTCTGGAGAAATTGAGGAAGTGACAAGGGGGTTAGAGAGTGGGCAGTCTTGAGAGGAATGGAGGGGCCAGCAGTTTGCGTGGCATGTTGAGATGAGATTTGTTTTGTTGTATAGAGCACAACTAAGGGTGGCTTTGTATGTTAGTATTTTTTTTTTTTTTGCTGGACAAGCAGAAGCCACTGTTGTCACTTCAATCACAGCTTACAATAGGCTGTGTCCAATCACCAAGCATTGTCACAAGGTGTGAGTCTAAAAATTATTTTAAAAATGTTAAATGTTGCCCCTCAGCCACCAATCAAATTCAGCAAGATTTGGAGATTACCAGTGTAGAATAAAAAGTTTTAATCTCATTAATGGCTGTGTCACAGGAAAATAGTTCTTGTTCAAATAAAAGAAAACCTTTGATGGCAATTGAATTTCCCTATATTTCCAATATTTCACCCAATTATTTTGTTTTCATTTTGCAGAATTGTTTCTATATTGTTAACCCTGAAATTATGCAGCAATTCTGGGATCATGGATCTGTTTTACAAAAATTAAGAAAGGAAAAATAGGGATTAACTATAGGCTCAGATGTTCACTTTAATGGATAAGTTCACTTTTTGAAGAAAAATAATAAATGTACATTTATTTATTTATTCTAAGGACCCGGCAGAGCATTGCACCTGCAATTAGCAGATCGCGGGTACAATGTCAGGCTCCTGCAGACTCTCAGGATAGCTGTCTGTACATACCTCGTGCAGGCAGACAGTTACTTGAGAGCAGGAAGATTAATGCACTACAGGAGTGCTCACCAGCGCCCTTGCAGTTCATTGAGAACTACGTTTAAACATGGTAAGAAAGGTAAACCTAGTCTTTAATTTTTCAAAACATGTGCTGAGAAAATGAGAGTGTATTGAGAGTGCAGAGTTTACATGAGATTTGCAGCTAAATGTAGACAAACCTTGTTTAAAAAAAAAAAAAAACCCTCACATTTGCTATTTATCTTTCATTTATTGATGTTCAGATTCTTTTTATAGACGATATACTTTTTAAATTATTTTACATTTTTAAATTACTTATTGGAAAACCTGCCTGGATTTGTCATGGGTTCAGTAAATCTTGTTGAAATTTCTTTCAGTGGAAAATAAAGTGGAGTTCTAGTCATTTTTGTGTTTATTAAAAGTCAGCAGCTACAAAAGCTTCTGACTTTTAATAAACACACACTCACCTGTCCCGGGGTCCAGCAATGTGCTCACCCGCACCATCCCGTCTCTCCCTCCTCTCTGCCTGGAGCCAGCATCTCAGCTGTGGGCACCAGCCTGTTACAGCTTGCAACTTCACAGCCGGGTGCCAACTGCTCATGCGCAAGTTGTGCTGCACATCCTGATTGGTCTGGCAGTCTTTTGGGACCTGTGAAGTGTCCCAGAAGACTGTGGGAGGAAGGAAGGGGGCCGAACTTAGCTGGAAGTGGGAGCGGGGCACCTGTCAAAACAAAAAAAAAAAAAAAAAAACCGGGCTATCCACTGGGGGAGAGGAGACAAATAAGCGGAGCTTCCACTTTTGGGTGGAACTCCACTTTAAGTGAAAGTTCTTGTGCTGTGAGTTCAGCTTTAACTCACAGTTAATAAAATCTTTCTGCAACCAACATATTTCTTTTGGTTTTAGTTAGAGCCTTGCTCAGTTTTAATTTGTTGTGTGTATTTCTCACTTCTCACCCAAGTCCACTCTATCACATGGACCACTTGGATGAAAAGTGTGGGAAATTTTACAATTGGGAAAGCAAACAGGTGTAAAAACCTGAAAGAGGCTTAGACAAGTTTTGTTGCTGTCCCTTCTAGGGAAAACTTCCTTCACTGTATCTCCATGACAAGGAACAAGAAGTGAAGAGAGATGGGGGGGATTTCTCTTCACTTCTTGTTCCTGGTCATGGAGTTGGGGGGAACAGGGATGGATGCAATACAAAACTGACATATGAAAAAATTTTATAGTTTGAGTTGGGATTTAATAATTACCCTAACCATTTAAGGAATGTTTCCTGCGTGTTTTAGTAACTGTTGATTTGAAATGAAAACATTTTAGGTCGGATGTATCAGCATGATCTTACTAAGAGCTGGAGTTTTTATTTTCTTCAGTTACAATTCATTTAATTTGATTGGTGGCAAACCATTTGTGTCTGTATGTTGTATACATACAGTCAGTGTGACATTTCTAAATATTTTTTTTTTGTCTTTACCTAGTGGCCAGACAGACCACACAGAAGAAATTGATATGGATCAGATGACCCAACGATTCAGAGCCAACTTGGTAATGGACAGCAACATACCTTTTCAGGAGGAGGAGTGGGCAGAGGTTTTCATTGGAAGTTTACATTTCCAGGTACTTTTCTGCATTAGTTTACAGACTAGGATGATTGTTTAGCTGGTCATCTAATGCTTCATGATAATCTATGATTTGGTAGTTATAATCTGCACAACTATATCATGCCACTGGAACTGTATTGTAACGCAACTATTTTTTTGCCTAAAGCCAGCCATATGTGGATCAGAGTTCAGTTCATCTTGTTGATAAGATGTCCCTGATATTGCCTCTCTTTAAATCCTGTATGCTAGGCTTGAGAATTGAATTAATATTGTTTCTTAACGTGAAACTGACTCTGTTTGAGCTGCAGTGGGAGCACTTGAGTGGTGCAACCAGTTTTATAATTGTGCTCTCCAAAGATTCAACAATTTTCAGACAATTTGAACCTCTTTCAACCAGCTTTCAATTAACAACCAAACAAATAAAGGCAACCTCTATCAATAGTTTGAATAGCACTACAGCTTTTGTAGAAGCATTTGATGGTAGGTTACATTGACCAGTTTGGCAGGAAATTTCAACTGGTTGAAGAATGAGTAGAGACTGCATATTTACAGATTGCAAAAACAATGAAGCAACACATCTGTAAACACATAAAAAAAAAAGTATCATGGGAAAAAGCTTTACTTGGTGGCTGATATATTGCAAATATAGTATTGATTTTGGGCAAATGTTTACTTAATAAGTATGTATACATTATGTTTGCTCTGTTTTAACTGATGTATTACACACTGTATACTGAGAATGCTGTTGGAGTTTATACACGCATTCACTAGCTCTGATATATAGTGTTGTACAAGAAACATTCACAACAATGTATGCACCAGAGAAGCTTACACCTCTAATGTAATTACCACAGTCAAATGCTATTATTATTACATATCTGTATACTGTATTTCTTAAAAATCCTCCGTTGAACAGGGAACACTGGACTATTCCCCTCAAGCACAGATGAGTTTACAGTCTAATGGGCCCATCGCTGACACACACATATAATCATTATTCATTTGTAAATCTCCTATTATTAGTTCCTTTGCATTGCTTCTGTAACACAAGACCAATATGGGCCCTCCTGTTAACTTCTGTGTCTACCACCCCTCTCTAAGAACAGGTTTCCCTTAACCACATCCCGACCACCCTATAGCAGAAATACTGCGACAGGGCAGCAGGGGTGTGCAAAATCACATATATATATATATATATATATACTTGGTTTTGTATTTCTGGGTAGGGGGCGTGCGCCCTAATCGCGCTGCCATTCACGGCTGTCAATCACTGGGTCCCAGCCGGTGATTCCCCGCTGGCGCCCTGTGATTACCAAGCATCTCTGACAGGGAAGAGGACTGCTTTGTTTACTAACAGTCCTCCTCCCTGTCAGCTCGGGCACACTGCTCTGGATGGCTGTGCACAGCACAGCCATCCAGAGCAGTGTGCTTGCAATGAAGCACCAACACACCGCTCTCTAGTAAAAACACTCCCAGCACACAGTTAACCCTTTGATCACCCCTCATGTTAACCCCTTCCTGCCCAGTGCCATTAGTACAGTGTCAGTGCTTTTTTTTTTTTATTGGTGTCACTGGGGATGTCAGTGACACCAAGTCAGTTCACCCCAGTGTCAGAAAGCGTACCGCAGTCCCGCTATAAGTCACTGATCGCTGCCATTACCACCGAAAGAAAGTTCTATTTGTGGGGAAAAAAAGGACGTAAATTTCATTTGGCTGCAGCGTTGCATGACCACGCAATTGTCAGTTAAAGTAAAGCAGCACCATAACACCAGAAATGGCCTGGTCAGAAAGGGGGGTAAAGCCTCAGGAGGGCAAGTGGTTAAACAGTAGGCAAAAAGAAGTGGAATACATTTCAAGGGGGCCACATTATTTCTATGGAGGGCTATGAAGGTTATAGCAAAATTATACATTTACATTATAGTAACAGCTGTAACTTACAATCCTTTATCTGAGAGAGAGACAACTATAAAAGTTACTAAAGTATATATCTTCAAAATTATGTAAAGTGTAGCTTCTATTAGCTGTAAAAGAGCTGGGACCTAATTTAGTATAAATTCCTAAACTTAATAAGGGCCCCAAAAGAGTGAGAGGGCTGCATGCATCAGTTTTACATGCCTCCCTAAAGTATAACTGCCAACTTAGAGCTCATGCACATGTGTGCTATTTGGCATACAATGTAAATTACAAATGTAAATTCTTTGGCCTGAGAGACACAGCTGTCCATTGTAATGAAGACTGTATGTGGGTATACTCTGGTACATGTGTAAATCCAGTAATGCATATGGGTGTACAACCCTGGAAACAGATTGTCTGCGTCCAGAGACATTTGGCTTTATACATGTAGCAGTTTATGCAAGTACAGCAGCATACAGCCATTCATTACTAGGAGGTTGGCTGTACAAGCAACTGTATCTCCTGGGCAGGGAAATATGTCCCCAATTGGCACTATAGAGCTCCATACTCTAGTGTGCAGGGACTTAAAGTTAGTATTGCAGAGCTTTTGTATGATCTGTTTACTTTAGGAGGACGTCAATCAGGGGCGGACTGACAACTCATGGGGCCCCCGGGCAATAGGGGATCATGGGGCCCCTGTGTCCTTGCCCAAACTCAGAAAAGCCTATGAAAAAGGTACCAGGGGCATCTCATGGGGCCCCCTACTGACCCCAGGCCCTCGGGCAGTGCCCGAGTTTCCAAATGGTCAGCCCACCCCTGGACTGAAGTGTCAGTCCGCCCCTGACGTCAATTACAGGTCATATGCACCGATCAATGGATTCTGATCTCTGAAGCATCTCAAACTGATATCTGATGTCCTTGACACAAGCCAAAAGCCTGTTGACACATGGCCTTACTGATAATTAGTCATTGCCAAGCCTATTTAGTGCATTGTATTGTTCAAGCTGTCTGGATTGGCTATGTTAAAGAAAGAGTAACATGATTTACTTTAAATTGAAAGAACAGAAATGAAAAATGCAATTTTATCCTCCTTTGCCTTTAGCTGACATAGATGCACAGTATATAACATACAAGCTTTAAAAAAAAGTGTAGCTAACAAAGTAGGTGCTTGAAATACAAGAGACTTGGGAAAAAGCAAGTGTATGATGTGTCAAGAGGGAACAGAAAGTTTGGATTCCCAAACTTTTGACAGAAAGTAATTTATTTGCTTGCCTTACGCATACAGGACAAATTATACAACTTTAAATGAGAGGAAAAAAAAAAGATTTCTTAGACATCCGTGATTGTTTTGTGGACATCCTTCTCAGATTAGTTGGGTTACACAGACATTTTTAAGCAGCTTTATTTGTACTGTATTTTGCTGATACTTCACCCACAGAATACAGAACTGTGCTGACGGAATAGGATATCGCAGTTCAGAAAAATGTGCAGTGTGAGCAGTTCTCTGCTCAGCTTACTGGAGAAGATTTAAAACCTGTAAGGGAATATTTTGTCAGGATACCATATACTAAGCTGCGCAGAAGGAATTGATGGGATTAATTGTTATGTAACTGGGACATTTCACCACTTGCTTTCAAGTTAAACATATTTTAATAAAGCGTATTGTATTGTTTTGAGACAGCTTGAAATGTGATTTACTGTTAGCGTATGTGCCATTTTGAATCTTGTCTCCTTGAAACACATAGGGGCATATTTAGAAAGCATGAATGTTACACTCACCAGACAATTACTGCAAGTAAATCAATCACAGTCATTTTGAGCACATACACCAGCAGATTCACTTGCAGTGAATGATTGGTAAATGTCAAATTTGTGCTTTACAAATACTGTTTATACCCCTTAATGTTGCTGTGTGATTTTTTTTTTTTTTTTTTGTTATATGTAAGCTGATATTCTACCACTTGGATCAATTCTAAAGCAAGCTTTTTTTTTAGTTTTGCTTGTCTGAGAGTAGTTAAACTTTTATCAGTTTTTTTAACCATCTGCATCCCATTGGAAAGATTTATCTTCACTTTTTTGTTCCAACATAATAGGAATTGAGAAGAAATTGGAAGAGTTACCCTCCTTTTGGTAGCATCTCAAAATGTAGTTTTTTCCTATACTTTCAGTTCCAGTAACATTGGTCACTGGGGCAAATAGAAATGGTACATCTCCCCAGGAGAGAAAGAGAGTGCAGTAAATAGAATGTTTTTCCAATTCTTTGAAATAGTAGTACTATACGGAGCAGTAGAGACACACATGAGCATATCTAGCTATGGACTGTACTAACTAGAGAGCGAACCGGAGGGGGAACAGGGGAACATACTCAGTGTACAAAAATAAACGGGCCGACTGATATGGCAGCACAATACACCTAACTTTCACCAAAAAATATTTCTGTCACACCTACTATGGATGATTCATTCACATTCACAAGGCATTCTCTTACTAGCAGGTGACTCCAGCATATAGCTAAATCCAACAATAGATAGAACAAAACAAGCTATAAACTGCACTACCTCCTCCTGTGGTCTAAACATCTCCAATGTGGACAAAACAAGCTCTTAACTGCACTACCTCCTTAAATGACCTGAACATCTCCAATGAGTTTTATATCATCAATATTTGGAGATAATTTAACCCAATCACTAGAGGCTTTACCCATTTCTCCAGCTCTATGGGATGTTTTGCTCACATTGACTATACTTCTTACTATCCAGTTGATTCTTAGCTTCCACTAAAATCTCCACTCCATGCTCTGTTCACAATCAAGTATCAACAACTTTGATACCTTGTTCTTGATCAGGATCTTGGCACCTAAATGTTTCCTTATTGACATTCCAAGACCCTGATCAAAAATTGGTGCCCATGCCCAAGATTTTTTTTTTTTCAGTTAACTGTCCTGCTGCTGGATGAAAAAAACAGTCATTTATGGCCAGCTTTACTCTGCTCAAATAGCACAACTAACCCAAATTCACAATTTCACAGATTTGCTCTTATGAGTCTATTTAGAGATTCAAAATCCTCACCTAATTGCTATTAACTATGTACCTTGGGCTTAGCCAGCCATAGATGGATCGAATCAGCATGGACCAGTCAAGATTCAATTCATCTGTGACCAATTTGGTTCTACTGAAGTTGAACCATGAATTGACTTGGGTACAGCCAACCATTTGATATTTTGCATGCAATTACTGCCGGTGGCTATAGCTGGGATGGCTCCCTGCCTGCAAAACACAATAGCACTGTGGGAGGGATTATGCCATCTATTTGGCTGTGGTGGAAGGAAAGAAAATTGAATCATCTATGGCTTGCTATGCTCTCTGACTGACCTATTCTACTAAGCTTTTGAAAGTGTTCGTAAACTGCAGCAAAAAAAAAAAAAAATCCCCTGAAAGTCAATGGCATAATATGCTAGTATGTATCACATACTAGCACATTATGAAATACTTACCTGACAGGGCTTCCATCTTCCCCTGGTCTTCCTTCAAGGTTCACTGACTCTGGTCCTTTGAATGACTGAGCCACGATGACATCACTTCCACGTGTGCGCACAGGAATCACAGTTTACGGCACAGAGCTCCAAAGGAACAGCTCAGGTATGCTGTGCCTTCAGGGCACAGGCATTGGTGATGTCACTGGCTGCATCCAGTGTGAATATCTCTTAAACAGCACAAGTTTAGGAGATATTCACTGTACCTACAGGTAAGCCTTATTATAGGCTTACCTGTAGGTAAAACTTCAAAACTGGAGTTTACTACCAATTTAATAAAACTCTCTATGTATTTGGGACAGAGAACGTTCTCATGCAAATTGGTCTCCCCAACCTCTGTCTCATGCAAAATGTTTGCAACAATTCCCTCCAAACCAGGACAGCCTCAGTCTTTGCCTGGTGGATCCGTAAATTACAAAATATATACCATCTCTTTTTTTCCTAAGGGCTTCTTTAACTTCCAGAAGCATACAGTAAATACAGCTTTCATATTCCCTGCAGGGAACATTACAAATACCCTCAGGTATGTCACTATATTTTCAAACTTCTTAAACTATAGCCTTCATTTATCCCTCTCTCCCTATGAACATCTTTGCGTTAATGGTCATGTGTACCTGGGCACCATATCTCCATTATATTGAGCACTGGTAATGACACCCTCCACTGCCTTCCATGCTTATGTAATTAAAATGGGAATCTACTTTGACCACTACAAAAGTTTGTGAGGACTGGTAGACCATAAGGTCCACAGTAGCTAAATGTTCTATCAATATGTTGACTTAGGAAACAGTTTACAAGGTGCTCCATGCTGGTGCTTTGTGCCCTCCGGACTTACACACAATACCCATTTATCCAACAAAATTTCCTAGGTCATCATACTGATGGCACTATGATCCATATTTGTTGGCCTTGCCCATAAATAATTCACTTTTGACCCAGGATATATGGTCTTATATGCAGTCTTTTCATTATCATATGCAAGGACCCGTGGAATACCTTGCTATATCTCCATTTGGACTGTTTGATGA